CTGATAACAATTCCCCACAGATGGCATGGCTCAGAATTTAAGGGGGGAGCATCCTGCCAAGCATTTCCTCTGATGTGCTCTCAGCCCCTTGCTAGCCCTGGCACCAAAGGACAGGCAAGGTATTACTGACAGCCCTATGGAAGTCAAAAGGAGTTTTGTTATTGATGTCACAGGGGCAGGATTTCACCATGTGCGTTTGCTGTGCTAACTATAGATGCTGAGAAGAAATACTTCTCGTAGAAATGTTTCACAGTCTTGGCGATACTGCTGTGTTCACAGGCTAAAGTGCACCTGCTTTCTTGGTCTCTGCAAAGCTGTGAATGTTAAGGTGTTTTGCTAGCTACTCTGTACTTCCCTTATTTCGCAACGTGTCCTTAGTTTGGATGCCGGAACAGTTCTGACTAGACTATTTAAAGGTTAACAGGTGAGTATACAGCTGTTTTGGAGCTGCTGCAAAAATGGTATTTTTCCCAATGGCTAGAGAAGTAAGGTCATGCTATGCAATCAAGCCAAGATTTTCAAAAGTGACTAACGTTTCTGGATATCTCTGTGTTTGAGGGCCAACTTGAAGACACTTTTAAGGGTGTTGATTTGCAGAAAATGCTGGGTATCTACTTTTAAGGGTGTTGATTTGCAGAAAATATTGGGTATCTACCCTCTGAATATCATTTTTTCTGAGATGTCTTAAGTCTGATACTTGAAAACTGAAGGGCCCAACATCCCTACTCCCTTCTGTGAGTCTTGGCTTCAATCTGTGGTGGAACTCCCAGAGAAATTAATGGGACTTTCATTGTGGGTTAAAAGCAAAACATGAGCCTCAAAAAACACAACACTTTTTTTCAATGGGATACAATGGGTTTAAAGACAAAACTGTATTTTCTAAGTCTTTGATTTATAAAGGGTTAACCTCAGAGAAAAATTATCCAAACAGTCCTTTAAGAAACGTTTTTCTGTACATTCAGCTTGGAGACCAAGGACAAAATACTCCTCTAAAATACGTAATGCAGATGACACCAGGGTAGTAATTTTGTTTGAAAGGATGGTAGAACCATATATGCAGGTGATCTTCAGGACAGTTCTGCTTATTGTTCACTGAGTGCATTGTGATGCACAAGGGAAAAAGATAGCTTATCAGAGTTGCATTTAATTGCAAGCGTAACTGAACACTGGGATTTTCCAAAGAGTTTCAGAGAGTTAGGCATTAAAATCCCATTTGGTTTTTGTGGAAGTTGAGAGCAAAACTGTGTTACATGCCAAAATTGGAATGTACCTCCTTGGAAAGTAGCCCCAAGTGTTTTCACCAATCCCAAAGTGCATTTTATTTCAGACTTTATTAATGATATGTCCTAGATTGCACAATTCTAGCCCTATTACACATTAGTTATACACATTAAAATATTTAAATTACATAATGGTGGAAAATTGGGAATACTTCTTAAACAATAAACATAACCCTTAGTTCTTAGTTTTCCTTTTCTATCTGTGAAATGGTTAATAATTACTGTGAGACCTCAAAGTAATTTGCAGCATGTGAACTATTTCAAAAAAAGCTGTTCTGATTCTTTTAGAAGATAAAAAAATTATGCAACTCCAACAGGAATTTGCTGTTGCAGAGGGGAGAAAAAAACCCTTGATATAAAATTTGAAAATGCAAATAGAATTATTTTACAAAACTGTAAACTTGTTTTGCTAAAGTTGCATTAAATTCTGTAGATCAGATTGTAAAACTGCCTGCCTAAATTGGACAAACTGACAGGAACAGGTAGATGTGCTCATGTGTTTGTATGTGCATAAATGTAGGGTGCCACTGGTGGGGATCTGGCTGTGTTTGTCTGCTCTGAGTCCAATGAGGTGAAGCTGAAGAGGACAGGAAGTCCTCAATCCTAAAAACACATGTACAAAACACACAGCTTTCAAGCCTGAAGTAATATGGGTTTGGATCAACTGCAGAGCTTAACACAGTGTATTGCAGGCTTTTGCAGGATTAAGGCCTTGGTGCTTATCTCCAGCATGGAATTAATTCCTAGAGCTAAAGTCCTTATATCAGTCATTATTTCAAATTATTCAAAATGAAAAACAAAAATTAAATGGATACAAAGTAACAGAGGGAACTAGCAAGTGAGGGTTCTACAAAAGATCTGTGAATCTTTACACTTAAAGTCTCACAAACTACACCGCAGGGATCCAACACTGTTTAGCTTATGGCAACTAAGCACAGGGAAGAGTCAGAGCTATTTTCTGTCCTGTCATACTCATATTGATATAATGGTAGCTAAGCAGTTTGGGACTGGAGTTGTGCAGCGATATATGCATTGCACACAGGTACTTCTGACCAGTTACTGCCCATTTTTTCTACCACTGTGTAAATGCACTTTTTACTGCTACTAATACACCAAGAAGAAAAAGAAGTTGGGCACAAGAAACATTTATTGGACAATGTGTCTTTAACAGGAGATAAATTATTACTTTACTAAGTCGCCAGAGGTTTTACTTGCTGTGTACAGAAGAGTCAGCTGCTTTTCTTGAAGGCTTAAAAACATCAATTTCAATAGCAATGCTTTGAAGTTAGTGGCACTCCATAACCCATAAAATTAGCATTCTCAAAGGGGCCCTAAGAATGGTCTTTAGTAGTCTAGATACCTAACAAGTACTATTTGAAGAATCCTGAAGCTGTGCTCCAATAAAACTTTGAAATATCACAGTGGTAAGAACAAAATGTTTTATTTTTTGAGGATCAGGGAGCCAAGATCTGCTCAGAAGCTACGTATTTATTTTTGACCTCTCTTTGTCAAGGACAAAGGAGTTGTTTTATTGAAACACAATTTTTTTAATGTATCTAATTTGTATATGAAGCAGATATATGGACTTCTGTAAGTTTCACCATCCCTGGACATGATTAAAAGGCTTAAACAGACCATACCAACTGAAGACAAAACCTGTATTGTTTTGATGGAGAATCAAACTGTTTCTTTGCTGAAATAACATGTCAACATACAGACTGTAAATATATTCTGAAAGACAAATTCTGCCTACCTGTATAGAAAATTCATTTTAAAATTGTGGATTTCTTTCTGACGGCAGAAATGTATACAAAATATTCTGTTTCAAACTTCTAATCAGTGCTTCATTTTATGCTATTTAGAACTTCTTAATTATGGCCTTGAAATGCAAAAGTTTACAAGATGATGCTTTTTAAAAAAAATTTGTACTGATCTAAAATGGAAATGATCCTCAGATTTTTTTAAGCTATTTTCCTCCTGCACAGTAAATAATAGTTTTCACACAACTCTGCAAATCCACAATGACTTAAACATTTGCACAGGCTGACTGGTAAAATTATTCCAAACATTAACTGAGCAATATGAATTTAAAAATCCCATTAAAAATATTTTACCTACTAACGTTACAAGTTGCATTTAAGAAACAAAAAAAAGTAAAAATCAAAACATTCTTATTTTGATTTGCACTTCGTTCTTGACAATATTTTGGGCCAAACTCTTGACTTGCTTAAGCAGCACTTACGCAGCCATGTAAATAGGATTTTTGGCACCTGGATAGCTTTTAGGTTTGATTTCCACCTCAGAATGGGATTGCTTAGATATGAAGGAAGAGGGTGAACTGCCCTCTACCCTTGCAGCATAATGTTTAGGGTACTTCCTCAGGGAACAAGATACTCAGGTTCTGGGCCCCATTCACACAAAGATTATAAACATGCATCTCCTGCTTCCCAGGCAAGTCCTATAACCACCATGCCATGGGTTAGGTGTTTCCTAGTGCCCTTCCAGTCTCTTGTTGAAGCTGACCCACTGGACAACCAGGAAGGGCTAGGGGTAGAAAGCAAGCCAGAGTAAGCATGGCTTACTAAGGCGGACTCTTCCCGGCAAAGAAGGGAGAGCTGGGTTCTGGTTCCAGCCTCTGCCTCCAAAGGTGGCAAATACCTACCCCACTGCTGCTTTATCCCAATTTATCTAATGGATATTAAATGCAAGGTGCAGAAAAGTCATTGGGGAGCGGGGATGAAAACCCCAGGCCTTCTTCCTGCCAAGGGAGCATGCACCTCAGTAAGCCCCACTTTCTCCGGCTTGTTTTTCTTTTGGTTCTTCTACATCTCTTCTTCTCCTGGCTGTCCAGAGGGCTAGCTTAAAGAAGAAGAAGGCCAGAAGCCACTCTGGACATTATTTGGTCTATGACATGGTATTTAGGATCCTTTGCTGGGAAGTATGAAATGCAGTGAAGAGGCCTAGAAACCAGATGCCCCATTTCCTGGGCCACTGCCCCAACCACTAAGCTGTTGGTGTAAGAGGGCCACCCCTCCTCTAGGAAAAGCTTGCTAATCATAGTCTTATTCCAACTAAAACTTTGGAACTGATACGAACATGTACTCAGGAGATTCAGTTTCAACCCAGAACCTTGTTGACCACCAGGGAGCCCAAAGCAAGAGTAACTATACAGGCAGAAGTGAAGCCTAACATCTTTGTCAGTGCCAAAAACTGGACTTAGGTGA